CAGGAAACTTTTTCCCCAGTTGCTAAACATAACGCAATACGGGTTCTATTCTCCTTGGTCTCAAACCTTGATTAACCTCTTCATCAACTAGATGTAAAGAATATTTTCCTCAATGGAGATCTAGAAAAAGAAGTTTACATGAAAGTCCCTCCTGTACTTAGCATCGGGTCTAAGAAGGTATGCAGATTAAAAAAAACTCTCTACGGTTTTAAGCAGTCTCCGAGGACATGGTTTGAGAGATTCTCAAGGGCAGTGAAACAGATAGAATATGTTCAGTGTCAGTCTGATCATACATTTTTTGCCAAAAACAGTGCTACGGGGAAGAAATCTATTCTAATTATATATGTTGATGACATTATCTTAACAAGTAATAATGATGAAGAAATTCTGTAACTTAAAAAGTTTCTAGCCAAAGAATTCAAGATCAAAGACCTTGCGTTACTTCGATACTTTTTGGGATGGAAGTAGCTCGATCTAAGAATGTATCTCTATTTCACAATGCAAATATGTCTTATATCTTTTAAAGGAAATAGGTATGCTTGATTGTAAACCTGTAGGAACACCGATAGAGTCTAGTGTTAAAATCGGTCTCAAAAATGATAGTAAACCTGTTGATAAAGAGAGATACCAGAGACTTGTTGGCAAACTTATCTATCTTGCTCATACCAGATCTGATATCAGTTTTGCTATGAGCACTGTAAGTCAGTTTATGGCTGAGCCAATTGAAGAACATATGAATGCCATTTACCGGATTATGAGGTACTTAAAGATGATCCCTAATCAGGGGTTGTTCTTCTAAAAAATAATAAACAGAGACATTGAGATCTTCACTGATTGTGCAAGATCAGTGACTTATAGAAGATCAACAATTGGCTACTGTACATATGTGTGGGGTAACCTAGTCACTTGGCGAAATAAGAAACAATCAGTTGTATCTAAAAGTTGTGCTAAAGCTGAATTGAGTTCTCTTGCTCATAGAATATGTGAAGGTGTATGGCTGAAGAAGATTCAATGTTAACTAAGTTTTTGTATTTCTAATCCTATGAAACTCTGGTGTGACAATCAATCAACCATCAGTATGGCCAAAGATCCAGTGCATCATGATAGAATAAAGCATGTGGAGATTGATCGTCATTTCATTAAAGAAAATATAGAAGACAAGACCATTACCCTACACTATATTTCTACTGATATTCAGACTACTTATATCTATAAAGGCACTACCAATAGGAAAATTTAATAACATTGTATTCAATATAGGATTACTCAATATATATATGTAACCTAGATTGAGGGGGAGTGTTGAAATAGTTTAGTATTTGCTCTTTCTGGGTAGGTGAAATGTCCACCACCACCACCAGAAATTAGTTACGTTGCTTATTTTTTCTTTTTCTGTTTTTCTCTCACACCCTCACCTTTGGTGTGATATCAGGATTACTCAATATATATATGTAACCTAGATTGAAGGGGAGTGTAGAAAATGTTAGAATAAGCGTAGTTTAGTATTTACTCTTTCTGAGCAGGTGAAATGTCCACCACCACCACCAAAAATTAGTTACGTTTGTTGCTTATTTTTCCTTTCTCTGTTTTTTTCTCACACCCTCACTTTTGGTGTGATATCAGGGCAATGAGTGCCTATAAATGGCACCTCACCCTCTCTGTTTTAAGCAAGCAAGAAAGAAGAGAAAAACCTTTCATTCTATCTCTCTCAAACTCTGCTTCCATTAAAGTCTTCAAATTCTAATATTAAAACCGAAGATACTTCTTTCAAGAGATATTATTAAAATGCGCATTATGGATTTGCCTATCTTTATTATAGCCTTGTCTCATCTTGTTCTATAACTTGCTTCAACAGCTTTGAGTACATGTGTGGAAAATAAGCTTAGATATGTTTCTTATCCCAAAGTATGGCACTTTGTGTTTGTTGGATCCATTTATTTTAAATGCTATATCCCATTTATATTTCTCGCCATGAAGCATGCCATTTTATGCTTATTAGGTCCATTTATTTTAAATGCTATGCCGCATGGCTTGGTAAATTTGTAATAATGGCTATATCTCATACTATTTGAACTGAAACCATCTCAAAAGCAAGTAATATGCACATATTTGCTCTTAGGTTGTTGAGGTCTTTACTTGCTATATGCTGGGATTTTGGTTCCACATCATAAAGCTGGATTTTTCTTTCTTTCTTTGCCAGGTGATTTCATCTACAAAGTTTCTTCTCTATCTCCAACTAGGCATTTCATTATACACTCTCGGAAGGCACTCCTCAATGGCATCAGCCCAGCTGATAATCGAAAAATCCCACCCTTAAAGTAAAGTTCATTACCCCTTTAGCTTTAATATAAAATAATATTTCCCTTTTTGGCCTTGACTTGACTGAAGGCTGCTCAAAAGGAACTGTCTGTTGTTTATTGTAATGTTTTTTAAAACAAACAATATTTTACATTGATAATGCAGATACGAGTATTTCTATGGGCTTTTGCGTGACTTTCCAGATTTGAAGTTCACAATAAATGGAGGCATAAATTCTGTTGTTGAGGTGAGCATTCATGCAACAACAGATCAATCAAATCTTTCGGTTCTAAAATTTATATTAGAGGATGCTAGTCCTGAGCTTAATTCTTCTGGGCATTTTTAATCAAGGGTACTTTTGTACTTTTCCTCTTCTATCTAATAATATTTTCTTTTTTTTTTTCATATATAGGTAAATGCAGCACTGAGGGAGGGAGCATATGGTGTTATGATTGGACGTGCTGCTTATAATAAGTATGTCCAGTGCATAGTATGATTTATTTGATGCTCCTTTCATGATCAAATTTATGAAGTGACGGAAACAACAGTTTGACATGATTAAATTGTTCAGAATATGATTCATATCATGTATGTAAGATAACCACCTAAGATGGATATCTTTTATTAAGGGTTGCTTCCAAGCTCCAATTGAACTTTCTTGAATTTTGCTTATTTTGTGGGCTTCGCTAAAAGGCTAAAGAATTTGTGATAAGATAATAAAAAAGAGAATATATTCTTGAAGTAAGTTCCTATGCTGCTTCTGGGAAGAAGGAAATGGTGCCGGACATTATTTTCTTCAAAGATTAACAGAGGTTTTGAACATTTTGCATCAATTTCAATCTAATATAATGGTTGTTATCAGATAATTATAAAATCAAGAAGATGCGATGCATCCATAATGGTCATGCTTATCATGGATACTTCTCAAAAAATGTAAATGGTTTAGATAACTCTCTCTCTTAGCAGCGAGTAGTTAATTTAGAGGTATCCAACTCTTGATCAGCAAAAATTGAAAGCTGCGCCAGAGAGAATTTATCTTTGAAAGTTTCTGAGATAGGATAACCTTTCCATTTCTCTTTGGGCTAAGCATGGGCACCATGGGATATCTGTTTGGGCCTTTAGTTATTTACACAGAGATGAAACGGCAGTTCTGTTTTGATTTGTTTTCTTTTTTCCTCCTCTTCTTTTTCTTTGGTTAGAAGGTCTCCTTGTCCTCCGTACTAATGTACTCTCATCTTTTCTCTCTCTTATAATTCTTCTTTTCTAATCCAAGAAAAAAGTTCCCATCCTCTCATATTTCCTGATCACCTTGTTGAGTACTCGGTCACCACTAATCATTTTATGATTTTCACAGCCCTTGGCAGACCTTGGGACTTGTTGATACAGCAATTTATGGTTGCCCAAGTACTGGCATTACACGTCGGCAGGTTTCACACAAGATTGAGCTCCTTAATAAATTCATTTGCTTATTTTGTATTTTATTTACTTTCCGATTACTGACACTGTTGGTTTATTTATTATTGCTTAGATTCTGGAACAGTATCAAGAATATGGGGACTCTGTTTTGGGAATACATGGAAATAATAGACCTAATGTTCGTGATGTGGCAAAGGTACTGCAACTACTGGTTTAGCTGGACTTCCAATCTTTTTCCTCAGGATTACTTGATTGTAATATATAAAATAATTTTGGATCAAGGCTTTGTGCAGTAAAAAGTCATGTTTGAGAAAAGAAATGGAGTGATGCCTGTTATCTTGTCTTGGTAAATATCATTGCTGCACCTGTTACAGCCAAGATTGGCAGCCACAATGGATGCAGCTTTTCACATTGGTGGGAACTGTGGTGGATACTGATAGTAATATATATATATATACAAATAAAGTAGGAATTAGTCTGAAGCTAGTTTTTTTTTTGTTGGTTGGGGATGGAGGAGCTAGTTGCATGGATCATTTCCCTTCTTTTTCCCCTATTTGGGCTAATTGTTAAAAAATATGGTTTTCATTCCATTCTGCTTGCATAATTTTCTTTTCTTTTCCAACCATACTTTGGCTATCTATCCTTGTTCCAATATGCTGCAGCCTTTGCTCAACTTTTTTCATTCCGAACCTGGAAACAGTCTGTGGAAGCGCAAAGCTGATGCTGCTTTCCTGAAGTGCACGGTATGTCTGTTAGTTCAAGTATGCTACAGTTAGCCTGTAGTATAGGTTCTTATATGCTTCTCTGTTTTTGTTACTTCACCAAGATGTGAATTTTTTATAATTATGGTTCCGAGCAAGAAAATTGTTGGATATAAAATTGTGGGAGTTGGAAATATTATCTCTCCCAATAATCATTTTGGATGGAAACTTTTTTATGAGATGAGTCTCTTAAGGTAGGATAAACTTGAAAGTTGAAAGTTGGTCATAAACAAAATTTTGAAGGTTGACTCCAGAAAATGCTTGGTTGCTTTTTTCTGCTCCTCTTTGCCGCTTTTGAGCCCTATGCCTGTGGTAGCTAATCTTTTTAATTATTATTTGTTGTGATTGTTTATTACTTACAGAACAATTTAATTATAGTCGGTAAAGTTGTTCATGGAGTTATTTAATATTACAGACAATCAAATCCTTTTTCGAGGAAACCCTTCCAGCAATACCTGATTCTGTCTTGGATTCACCGATTGTGGGAGAGCCATCAGGTCGTGAAGATCTTTTTGCTGATATACATTCTTTACTGCCACCTCCGTACAAAACACAAGAAAAAGAGATCCTATACGCATAGAATTCTGTCAGGATACAATGATATGCCCAGTTTTCATTAATAATTTTGGTTCCACAGTTCTCATTGTATTACGTCTATAGAAATTTCTGATTGCCTGTAACATGTGCCAAATTCATTTCTGGAAAAATTCCAAACTCATCAGACACTTTAGAATCAGATTCTTAGACAAACTCAGAACTCCATGTCAAGTGTGCATTGAAGCCTATGATATTACCAGTTTAATCAGATGTCTTTATTAGGCAGCTGTTAAATTTTACTTCGCCCCCATTTTTCTTCAATTATCTGCATTGGCCTCTGATTCCTGGTTAGGTTGAAACTGAATTTCTTGGGATGATAATTGTAATTGTTATAGTATCTAAATTGGTAGATACTTGAAACTTCTTATTCAGAATTTTAAATTGTAGATTTACAATGTAATACCCGTTGTACATTATCCTCTGTCTGATTATTAGTCTATTGACAAAGTGATAAAGTAATTAATAGAGTTGTTAGGTTCTTGAGTTCTTTCTTAAATTATATGAATTTTGCAATGTACATATATATAGATATATAGATATCTATATATATGTATATATATATAGAGAGAGAGAGAGAGAGAGAAATATACATATTTATCAAAATTATAAGTTGTGATATATTAGAAAAAAGCTGAAAGGAATAGTGAATGGACATTGAAAACTAGTGGCCCTTGTTGACCCACTAAAGAAAAATTGTACCTTGAGAAAGATGTGAAGATCAAGCACCAGAAACTTTCATATTGCATCTGAAAAAATGATTGGTCCAAATCATATCTTGAGAGATAAGATATTGGATATCACCAACACATTTTTTCAATACCTAATTTAACTAACTCATCAACTTCATACATCACTCACAATACATTACACAGAAATGGCCTCAATCACCATGACAGCTTCCTTCCTCGGCACCAGCCTCGCCACCACCCAGTCTCCGGTGGCTTCTCACCGGAGACATTCAGTTGTTGCCAGTGCTGCAAAAGGAGCTGAAATGGAAAAGAGTAAGGTGAAGTTTGAGGCCAACAAAGAGAGCAGCAATGGCAGGAGGGAGTTGATGTTTGCTGCTGCAGCTGCCGTAATCTGCTCTGTTTCCGGGATTGCCATGGCCGAGGAGCCGAAAGCTGGCACCGCAGAAGCCAAGAAGTTTTATGCACCGGTTTGTGTCACCATGCCAACGGCAAGGATCTGTCGCAAGTGAAGAAAATCCATTATTAATTGTTTGTAACTTGATTTCTCTGCTATTCTGAACTTTTTTTATTTGGCCTCATCAAAATGCTGCTGTACTTTCTCCCACAGTTGATGCTCTCATTTAAGTGTTTCACACAACATTAGATCTCCAGCTTTGTGTGTTGGATAAATGGCACCAACTGATATATCTACCTCCTAATATAATGTTCATTTTCATATTACGTTTGTCCGTGTCTATACATATATATATATAGCGCATATATTGTTCTGTCAAATTTTCTGGGAAAATTTATAAATTCATTACAGACTGATGTGTTTGGAATGCTGGAATTGTACAGATCTCAAGTTTAAAATTGAACATAAATTACATTTTCATAATTATAATTAATTTCCAAAAAGTATATAAAAAAGACCCAAACTAATAAGTTTGACTAAGCAGGACTTTGCCGGCAACAAAAACAAAAGGACGAATTTCGGGCTTTATCCGAAGAGGGGTTGCTAAAACTTTGACGCTTAAAAGTACAAGTAAGAGAAAATATAAGTACAAGCTTAAAAGAGAAGTACAAACCTATTTGACATTCACCTTAACTTACTTTTATCTTGAAGGCCCAAAATAATAGTGTTAAAATCTCCTTAATGCAGTGACAATGTTAATAGTTATCAAATGAACTTAATGTTGACAATCATAACATAATTTAAATGTCAGACAACAGAAATCGGGCTAGTAAGTAGCTTAAAGAAGAAACGAAGTTACCAAAAAGAAAAAAGGGTTAGAAAGAAGCAAAAAAGAAAAATGGTGAAGGAAAATGATTAACTTTTGAGAATCAACTGAGTCATTGGTGAATGTTAAATTTTGCATTTCCTGTCATTCGTCACTTCTAAGAGGTTTTTTCAAAATCTACATTCACAGTCTACCTGTAAGATACGCAACAAATTTAAATTATATCCATAATCTATGCGTTATACACGCATCAAACTCAAATTAATCTCAATTTTGTATTCACAGTCTGTGTAGGATGATGATGCCACACAAAATGTGATGTATTTTTAACTACCGAACATGTTTTTGTACATGTGAAAGAGTTCATATATAAAGAAAAGAAAAAAGTTCTTCTAGCTGTTTATTTAAATAACATCATAATAGAGAGGGAGAGAGAGAGAGAGAGAGATGGTAGAATTCTCACCAAGCTAGAAGCCTGCAATGGAGAAGAAAATCCTCACTATTGCATTAGAAACCTTCCGCGGAAAGAAAATTTCAATCTGCAACATTCTTTTTCAGGCTGCTTCGATAAAGAAGAGGAGCTTTTTTATAACATGATGAGATGTTTGTTTTGATCTCTGTACAGATTTTTGTTAGCAATTGAGAAAAGAAAAAAAAAAGAGAAAATAGAACCTACATCGCAAAGATACACCTAAAGACCAAATGACTTCAGAAAATAAGAACCATGCTGTGTGCATTACTACAACAAGCTTCCTTTTCCTTGTTCCTTCTGCAACTATGTCTTAAATTTTTACCTGAGACTGAGGCAGTTCTACATGAAAATTCTGTTAAACTACATACAATCACAAGGCCAGATTCCGTTTTGTTGTTTCCATTTTTAATAGAAGATCTTTAATATCTTCCTCCATCCTCATCTTCATACTGAAGTATTCCCGCTGTGCTCTTTCAAGACTTTGATACTCCTCTAATTTCTGCCTACGCATTTCCTCTGCCTCGACCAACCGCAGTTTTGTGATTCTACTCCTATACTCTTCCTCAATTTTTTCTGCTTTCGCATTTGCAATTCTTTTTAACCCCTCTGCTTCTCTTCTAGCATCATCTGCACGTGATTGAAACATTTTAGCCTCTGCTTGTTTGATTCGCACAATGCTCTCAAGTTCATCAAAAAGAGGTTCCTTGTGAGCATTTCTTTCGAGTTCCAAGTCAACAGGGTGTTTATCAGTGCATTCATTGAAGCTTCGTCGCATGCTAGATGATCCTTCCAGTTGAGGTGCTTTATCTGGATAAACAGAATTGCGCCATGAAGTATCCTGGCTAGCCCCTGCAATCCCATTGCTGGGTTTTCCCTGTTCCTTACCAGATGAAGCTGGGGCGTTGACGAACTTGGAAGAATCACACTCTGCAAACACATTGAAGATATAAGTAGTGTCCTGGAGCTTGGTGGAAAATCAATGCTCCAGAGAGAAAAAGAAAAGACAAACTCATGCATAGTTCCAAGTACAGGATAGAGCCCAATTATTAAAATAGAGCCAATATAGTTTCACAGAAGTCCATTGTTGTTTTTGGGACATAAACATTACCATGTCAGCAGAAGATGCTAACACTGACCACTCACAAGTGCATGAGGTAGTTGCAATTCTAAAACATCAAAAAAGATTAATTTTACAGCTTAGAGTAACCTTACTGTTAACCCTCCAGTGTATATTAATCTCAGAATCTAAATTACATAGTCAACATGAGAAATTCAGTTGATGCTAGGTTAGGTTCCAAGGGTCAAGACTTAGTTGATACTTCAGGTTGGTTCAAAGTTCGATTGAACGATTACTAGATTCATTATTTGGATCACTTGCGTTCTTATTCTATTGGATCTTGTTCTTTTTCTAAGTGATAAGGTCATTGATTCATATCTTTTTTACAGCTAGAACAAGAATACTAATACCTATTTTATAGATTCTAATAGAACTGACTAGATATACTACAAGCTTCTAATAGTAATGATATACAATAAGTTCCAAAGAAACATATTATTTAGTGGACTTTCTCCTGACTAAGGCACATATACCTTTTATTTCACTCTTTAACTAATCTCGATTTCAAAAGAAAGCTTGTTGGAACATAAATTTCTCACCCTCTCCTTCCATGACTTTTCTCTTCCAATCTCTAGAATCCTATTCTATCCTAATTTCTTAACTTGCCTTAGTTCTTTCTTAAATGTGAACCTTATTTTTAGAGGTCCACTTCAAGAACCAAGATGAACCCAAGTGAACCTATACCACAAACTAATTTGAAATTTTGGTACATAGATCACAAACTAGTTTGAAATGTTTGTAAAAAAAAAGAATAAAAGAGAATCATATTTAACATGCACTCAATTTATGCTCAATCTTTATTTCCAGACAACTAAAACCAATAATCCAGAAAGGAAATTCCCTGAAGTTTCAACCCAGAGAATTTCAACCTTTTTTCTTTTTTTTTGGGAAAAGAAGGAGAAATTCAACTTGAATATAAGCTTTATGCATTATTAATCTCAATGATGCCATCTGGTATGGTAGCCCAAGGGAAAGAATTTGGGAATATAACTTTTTCATCAAACTAAGTTTTGTTTAAATAAACTTGGAAATGACTGAAAATAAAGTTTCTCTGAACCGTTCCTGTGGATTAACTTATACATGCTTTCTATACCCTAAAAGAATTAAGGCTATTTTTTGGAACAAATTTGGTATTTTTGTGGAATTCATCCGCAACTATTTTAATTAGGAGAAGTCTAAATTCTATTAAAAGATGATAAAAATGAACTTATATGAAATTCCACATAGGATTGGAATAACAAATTCTAAATTCAATGAAATTTAGAGTACATTAAGTTTTCCATATTAATTCCCATGAGCTTAATTTTTATCATTTTAGCTATTAGCTATGACTTTCATCATCTTATAGTTGAAGTAAATGTGAATTTGCAGACGAGTTCCATAGAGAGTTAGATTTGTCTCAGAGATGACCTAAGCAAATTGTAAATTTGTCGTCTTCATTTTGTGAATTAACAAGTAAATTCCAGTCCATACTTCTTTCTTGAAATAAATATTTTTTTTGAGAGAAAAAAAGAATGTATATTAAGTATAAGACATCAAGGGGGTGTCACCCCTGTACAAGGTATTTACATATTAGTTAAACCATCAAAGATCTTCTTAAATCGTCCCACCCATATAAATCATGCCCCAGAATTAGAGCCAATAAATAATAATAAATTCAAGATTTTAAAAGTAATTCCAGTGTGACAAGAAGAGCCAATGAATAAGATCCTTTGGCGAATAAAATAGAAACATACCTGCCAGAAAATCCATGACATGATTGTAAACCTCAGAAAGTTCAGCCTTATTTGCCAATCTTGCCAGCATCAGATCAGCAATTTCATGTAGTCGTTTCCCTCTCAAATCCTTGCTACCAGAGAAAATCCTCCTGACATATTCAAGCTCCTTGGAAAGTGTTTCCCGTGTCCATTCCTTTGCAAAATTCTGGAAAACCTCTTTTACAAAGCCAAACATCTCGGACGGGTGATCACAAGCAACACAATGGAACTGCATTTCAGTTGTTCCATGAGGCCCAGTAGCACTTCTCCCATTCCTAATATAACGATCCCGTAAGCCACAATCCGCATGGCACCAGTGAAGACAGACATCACACCCAACCCAGCTACATGTATTAGATGCCATGTCAAACTTTGAGCAAACAAGACACATGCAAGCACTGCAAAAACCATTCCTCCTTGCACAAACTTTGCAATCGCACTCATCCACAGGCAAAAGACTCCGACACATAAGATTTCTGCATCTCAAGTTCAGAAAGATCTCAGCCAACTCAGACGATGAAATACTATTCTCTAACCGGAGGAAGTCAGGTAGACCAGTTCTCAGAGCAACTAATATTTCCAACTGAGCACGATGAGATTTAACCAGCATCTCCAAGGTAATGTCAGACTTATTCTGCAGTGCATTCTGAAATCCATATAATTGCGCATGCTTATCCACGTTTACCATGATCTCCCGAATGCTCTCCTTCAGACAACCTATAGATTGTCCTGTCATTTCATGAAATTTTTTGGCCATCAGGTGGATAGGATCAGAAATCATCCGGCAAATAACTGTCTCAACAAAATCAGCTCCACCAATCAGGAGCTGATCTTGTTCTTTCTGGCTGCTACTCCTATATAAGCTACCACCGTGCTTCTCTCTGATTGCTCTCTTTTTATCAAAACTAAAATTTGAACCAATTTCATGAGAACCCACACTCTGTGGAGGAGATCTAACATCATTCTGTTCATGAAAACTCAACTGCTTATCAAGTCCATTGGTTACCTTCGAGCTTCCCTCCACAACTCTAATATGCTGCCCTTGTGCATTTTGCCCATTAGAGATACACTGTAATGCTTGTGACTGATGAAGAGAGCCATTTCCATTCATCAGAATTCTTTGATACATAGGAACTTCCTTATGTCTAGATTCATTATGAGATTGTGCTTGAAAAGATCCTTGAGAAACTTGATCTACTCCCTGAAATATAGGACGGCTATGAACAGACTGTTCAAAGTTGTCCAGTGAATTCTGTGTCAGCGAACAACTTGGATTATGATAGAATGACTGAGAACCTGAGAAGGACATTGATGCAGTAAACCCATCAGAATTGGTACAGAATGTATTTGTGAATGACTGAACACTTCTACCACGGCTTGGAGAGCCTGGAGCGAGGTTTGTACCACGAGAACCTATAGGTAACAATACATTTGGTAAGCTGAGAGAAAGATCTAATAGCTCCAGCCCCAGCTTCTCATCGATCTGTTTATTAGCACCTGAATGCTCTGCTTTCTCTACTCTTCTAACAGGAGAACTAGAGAACAACTCAAAGCCCCTAGTACTTGGTCCTTCGAAATCATCATTCCCATCCCTGCAGGTTAAAAGATTTCTTGATTCTCTTTCCATCCATAAACCATCTTCTGAGGAATCAGCAACATGGGAAGGAGCAACAGCAATGCTTTTACCTTTATCTCTGATATTCTGGCTCAGACCCTCTGTAACATCCATATTCACTTCTGGTCCTCCATTTTCCTGGTCAAATTCCTTGTTCAACTCTGACCCTTCAACTTCCTCTGCCTTGACCTCGAGATCAATCCCTTTATCTTGGACTTGATCCTTTTCCAACTGCGCAGGCGTCTCAACAACTATATCAATACTTTCTTCCACCTTACATTCACCATTCTCCCTCACGCACTCTGTGGCCTTCTGACCTTCATCATCACTTCCATTTCTGATTGCATCTCCATTCCCACCAGCTCTATCATTATCACTCGGTTTCTCGTCACCATCCACCAATTCATCAACGTCCTTCACTACATGCTTCCCTTCACTTGCGCTTCCCTTATTGTCCTCTTTCTCTGCACCCTCCATCATTTGATCTGCATCCTCATTTTCAACTTCCTTACTAGCTCTCTCAACATTGGATCCTCTACGATCACCATCAAAACCACAAAGAAGTACTATTTCCCTACAGGTATTTTCAATTTTGGACTCTCTCTGATAACCATCAGACCCAATAACAGGTGGCTTCTTCCCTTCATCTCCACACTCCACAGCAGTATCCATTTTGGTCTCAGCTTGAGGCTCCGGCTGCAGCTCTCCTTCCTCCATCTCACTATTACTCCCGCTCTGGACCTGCGCGTCCTCCACGTTCTTCTTTATTACCTCCCCCACACTCTTTGACTGCTCACTCCCTGAATCCTTGGAACATGTGGGAGACCTCGAGGACCTAGACTTAGATTTTGACTTGGACCTGGAATCCCTTGAATCCACACCCATTCCCCCTCTCATTCTTGACTGCTCGCTCCCTGAATCCTTTGACCAACTCGGTGACTTCACATCCTTCCTTTCCCTCTCCCTCGGCCTCACACTCCCTCTCTCCCGTTCCTCCAACCCGAAGTCCTTCACTCCGCTGCCAAATCTCCTCCACGACGACACACTCCCTTCCCTCCTCGGCCGCTCCCGGTCTGACCGAAACCCCTTGGGAAACTCCCTCCTCGACACGCAAAAGCTCTCCGACCGGTGAATCCTCTCATCCCGATATCGATTATCAAACCCTTTCCTCCGATCAAACCCTCAAAATCGTGATCCAATCTCTTGCGAGAAAGCGGCCTGTAGGTTTCGCGATTTCCACCATCATCCTCGGGCAGAAACGACGACCTGTCTCGGTCGTACCGGGACGAAGAAGACGTCGACGACGAGATCAGCCCCTTGCGCACGACGTTGCTGTCGGCCGATGACTTATGGTAGAAGCCTCCGCCTCCACCACGATGAGCAGAGGAAGACGAGCGATTGATGCCGAGGGATTCTTTGCCCACATTCTTCTCGCCATAGGAATCGAGATCATCGCTCGATCTCAACCTCTTCATTTCGCTTGGGATTCACAACAACAACAAAAAATCACACCAAACTTCGAAAAAAAAAAAAAAAGCAAAACCCGAAAAAGAGCTTACAACAACTTCAACAAACAAAACAAACTAAGAGTTACAACAACCTTCCGAAACCCTAATTTATGTTCATCCCCAAATTTCATACTGAATCTTTAATACTGAACTCCTCCCAAGAAAGAAAAAGGAGAAGAAGAAGAAGAAGAAGAAGCAGGGTTGTCGGTTAAATTTTAAACTAAACATTTCAAAGTGAAAGTTGAAAGAGAGAAGGAAGGAGAGAGAGCTTGAAGTAAAAGCACCTGGAGATTTGCGCAAAATTCAAATCAAAATTACATCGATAACCCTCAGTACAAGAAAATTCCCAAGACCAGATTCAGCGATGGAGAGAGACAGAGAGAGAGAGATGAATAAATAAAACAAAATAGGGATTTAGAATCAGAGTTCGTCAAATTTGAGCTTGAAATTACCTATATAACAAATAGAGAGATTCAGAGAGGGAGTGAAAGAGGAATTGGGGAAACGAATGAGGGTAAAATGGGAATGTAAAATATTTGCTAGAAACTAGAGAGAGATTTATCACAGTCAACGCAGTTTAACCACTGTAGAGGAAGAAGAACAAGTTTATTTATTTAATTATTTATTTATTTGAAAAAAATAAGAAGAAGAAGAAGAAGAAGAAGTTGAATACGCAACGTGGGTGGAAAGCATACTCATCAGTAAAAGGTCGTGTGAGCGGTGATGTGTGCTTTATTTTTTTTAATTATTTATTTATTTACTTCTAAACTAATCTAACGACGTCGTATTTACTCTTAAATTAATCAAATTTTAAATAATAATAATTAATATTAAATTAAAAACCAAAATGCAAATTACAGCGCTCTGATATGTTGACACGTGTCATATTACTATTGGGGAGAATCTATGACTTTTACTGCAATCTACGACTTTTTGTCAACATCTGACAAATGCTCAGCTGTAGCCGCTCAGTCTTTAAAAACCACTTCCTAACGCTCTCCGTCTACCAAACAGTTGTACTCGCCATATCAGTCGACCGCACGTTTCTTTGAATTACACGTGTCTAGACATGATAGCGAGTGTTCATTTATTTCAGATCTTCCCGTAGGTGTTAGAAAGAACGTAGAGGATACTGGACTCTGACTTTGACTTTGACTCTTGACGTCATAAAGACATTATCTTTGATTTAAAATAATTAAATTTGAATGAATAGCTATGTATTTTAAGTTAATTTTTTTTTTTAAAGTGTATTTTTCGTCCAAATTTGAATTCTATATTTTTATTATTTTCTCATTAACATAAACTGAAGTTAATTTAATTAAGTATTTAAATTATATTTCGGATTACATAATTAATAATTATGAATTAAACGAGAATATAATATATTTAAACTAAAAGTAACCAATTTAATATTTAATTGTTATAATTTTTAAATTTTATAAAAACCAACAAATATATAGTTTTTATTTTAATATAAAATTAAAAATAATTTTGCAAATGTATTTGCTAAATTGTAAAAAAAAAAAAAAAAAAAATCAAAACCTAACAAATAATTTAAAAATTAAGATAATAATTTATCCAAATTTTTTTATTTTTTATTAATAATTTAGATTTTCACGTGGCACACTTTAAAATTCATTTTCAATTTTTATTTTCTATCTAATCTTTTTTTTTTTTCAATACCCTTTCACTTTATTTTTCAATAAAATTTTGACCAATTTTATTTATTTTACACACTTTCTTAAAAGTTTTACTTTTTCTTCACACTTTCTTCTATTTCCTTATCTTTTGTTTTGTTCAAAATTTATTTTTTAAAAAAATAGATAAATAAACATATATATTTAAATTTAATTACTAAAAAATATTTTTTTTGAAATTAAAATCTATAATAAATTTATGGAAACCTAATCCAATATAATCATTAGAGCTCTACTAATATAATATATAATTAAGTTATTACTTTTATTGACTTGTATTATTAATATAAATTTAAACCAAAATCGTTCACTTGGTAGTTCAAAAAATTCATATTGTATAATTAAAAAATTATTAATTAGTTTATAACAAGTAATCTAATTACAAATTTGAATTTCAACGAATATAAAAAAATTGTCATTTTAATTATATATTATATATTAATAATAATGTATGTATAATATTTATTATCATAAAACTAAAAATTTTATTTATTATTTTATTAATAAAATTTTAATGATTAAATTAAATTAAATTTTAATACATTTTTATATTTTAAATAAAAAATTATTATATAGTTATTAAATTCTCTTAATTATAATAATCACATATACGTGTTTATAAACATTTTTCATATAGTTCGAATAAAGTTGAATTTGACCAAAGTACCCTTTTGATCTTATCCCTGTATGATTTCTCCACTCTCAAAAGCAAAATTGTGAGGTAAACAATTGCTTATCCAATTTCTAAGATATTTCAATATTGAGGGGCCCTATATATATATTAAGACCTAAAAAGAAGAAACCAAACTCTGTAATTGAGTTTCCATGGCATTAGCTCTGTCAATGAGTAATACCTTGATTTACAGAAGGAGCAGTCGATGCGGAGAGTTGGCGAAGAACAGACGATCTCATTCAAATCTCGTCTTCTCCATCTCTTGCTGTCATGAACCAACGGGAAAAACACAGAAAGAAGATGAAGGATTGTTTGGAAAGACAGAAAAGGTAGGGAAGTTGTTGAAGGAGAAATTGAATTTGGATCTGAATCCTAAACAGAAAGGTGACTGGAAGGATTTGATGTTGATGAGCTTATCTTTTGCGGTTTATGTGTATATATCCCAACAGATTGTCTCTGCTTACTTCGCGTATTGGATCTCCATTCCCAAACCTTCCTGGTAGACTTTTTATATTTATATATATAATTAATTTATATTTAGATACTTACTGTGTATAATATTATGCGTAATTATATATGTTATATAATACGTATATATATATATATATTAAATATATATAAAAGACTAATAAAGCTTGATTAGATGTCAATTGAATCGGGATCAAACCGCCATTATTACTTGTTACTATTCAATTTATAATAATTAAAATTTTCAGTCAACTTAATTATGATTTCATTTTTTCAAAGCATTAATTATTCAATTCTAACATCTTTGGAATTTTTTGATCCCACTTTTGTTCAAAAAATTCAAACCAAATTAGAGCCTGTTGCGTGAAAATTGGGACCGCCGGAAACACTTATCTACAAAAAGGATATGATTTTTTATGAATTTATTAAAATAAAATATAATTCTTAATAAATATATAAAAAAATATTACTTCTGTTTAAAAAAAAAAAGCAATAATACTAATAAAATAATATATTAATATTTTTTTCTTTTAAGTTTAATTAAATTATAAATAGATTTAAATTTTAAAATATAAAAAATTAATCAAAACTGTAGTATCATATGAGAGAAAATAGAAACAGTCAAAAAACATCAATCAAAATATAACTGATTTGAATTTAATTGAATCGAACCCAAATAACTACATTTAACTCAGTTGGAATGTAGCAGATTTAATAATCTGTCTGCTTATTTTTCTTAATTCAGTTTTTCATTTTGGAATAATGAATATCTCCTACTACTTCTAAGGAACTAATCACTGTAATTACCGTGGTGGTTTTGATAATCCTCAAGGTGAAAATCTCATTTTGAAGAAGAAAGCAAGTAAATACTGAATTTCCTATTAAATCTTCTTTAACTAATTTCTCCATTATCAAAACCTTTGAACCCTTGCTTGAGTTGAAAGATAACAGTAAATCAACTAAATCCACTCATTCCGATTGTATAAATGTATCTATATATATATATATATATATACATATATGTAAAAATATAAAAGTTTGATGTTTGCCTTCCACATCATGGAACTGTCCCTGGAACATTTGTCACAAGAAGATATAACTAGAACATAGAAAGAGTATTAAAGTCAGCAGAATTCTTCAACTGATGAAGTCAACTAATTTTTTTTAAAATGGAGATTAGGAGGCCATAAACTCAATCAACAAGAAAATTTATTATCATTTCATGCCTCTTTCTCTCATAATTTTAAATGGGTTTTTCTTAATCAGAATTCTTAATGGATTTAAAAACAAGGTAAAAAGATACAAGTTTTGGAAAAACAAGAAACACTTTTAAAACACTTGAGATACACATCAATCTTAATTGTTTATTTAACATCAGGGTCCTGAAAACTTAGTCAGCTTTAAGTCTTTCGCGCTTGAAGAGGCGATAGAAGAGCGAAACCAACCACTGCCAGAAGATAATTAGCCAATTACCACTCTTGGGTTTAGTTTCTGGTCTCGGTCCGAAAATACCTTTATAAATCTCCTTCTGTTTTTGATAAATAGCCTTGTCATGTTCAGCTAGCAACCGAAGTTCCTTCACTATTGCTCTGTCTTCAGGAGCAAATTTTCGTGCTTTTTGGAAATCTTCCCGAGCAGCATCAGTCTGCCCAAGTTCTGCTCTAGCCTTACCTCGTCTGAACAGTGCTTTCACATTGTTCTCGTCCTCAGCCAAAACCTGTCAGCATATCATCCATGGAAATAGCTAGTCAGTTGTTTTAACTCTCTCACTGATTTAATTTTCCTGATAACCAAAAGTGAGAAATAGAAACAAACCATCATAACCAGAATTGTTTGGTACAGGAATAACATAATAAAGCAAGTATCAGAACTAGGTGAACTAAAAACACCTAAGAAAATCCCCATGTAAGATCTTTCAATGCAGCAGCAAAATGTTAGACACATCAATCATCATCCAAACGCATTGGTTTTAAAATACACTGAAGGAAACGACATGCATTAAGCACATAGAGCTGCTTATTTTCCAAACTTCACATGTCCTTTTAGTTCTTTGATTGATGAAAAAAAAAAAGAGGATCTCAAGCACAAACTACAGCAGTTCAGGCAGAAAAAGAAAAAAACAAAAAAAGGAAATGCTCGAATAAAGTATATGATTAAAATTAAAACTCTGGATAAAGACTATGAGTAGACAAAAACATCTTTATAAGATTGCTTGCTCTACATTATAAGTTATTAGAAGGGTGTCAATAGTTACGTCTGGTCTACAGGATAGTAAAATAAACATCCATATATATTCAGATTAAACAAAAGATTGTCTTTGTTAATTTTGTTGTTGAATTTCAGATCATTTGTTAAAATACAGCTTTGGCTCTTTCAAAGGTGTAGTGGCATTATTTTGTTATATCATTTACCGGGAAAGGAGCTTTATGGATCATTCACTTACAAGGCTGCATTGTCCAATGGCTTCTTCATAGCGTTTGAGCTTTATCAGACATGCTGCCATGTTAAGATGGCATGGATTTTTAACAGCCAAAGCCATATCTCGATACTTCCCAAATAACTGAAACATGAAGTCATCACCCATATATGCTATGGCCTACATGAACAGAAAAAAATCTGGACTAATCAAAAACTAGAAAGTCAAAGAGACTAGATGAGGTTGGATGAATGCAGATGCCAGCATGATATGTTAAACTGTCATACTAAAAAGGAAACTTAGTGCGTAACCATTTCATACTGTTGCATGGCCTCCTCCAATTTGTCCTCCTTAAATAAAGAGTTCCCATCCATCTTCCGTCGATCTGCAGCACCAATCCTCTCTTCAACAGTCATGTCACTACGAGCTTTCCCCTGTGTAATGCAACCACATAAAGCCACATGTTGTTAGGCTCAGGCAAGAAGAAGCATTTGGAGATCATAGGTAAACATTTAGCAAGCCAGAATAAAACTTACTTCTTTTGTTTCATCAAATCCAATGAGTTCAACCTCATAGAACAAGTCTGCCATGGGGGGAACATTTGGGAAAGAAAAGCTTCCTTCTTTCCCATAACCTAACTCCCAGCCCACATGTAGCAGCGCACGTTCACCAGACTTCATACTGGACACTCCAACTGCTAAGCCAGTCATTTCTTTCTTCTCTGTTACATTTTCAAGACTATCATCGACACTTGGAAAGACAGTTAATAAACAGAGAAACTTTCTGCCATTACAGATAATGATTAGAATCATTAGATTGACGGACTACCAGTAGATGAGTAAAGGCATTGTTCTGGCATTGAATTTTCAATTAGACAAAGTATTCTCCATATAGGAATGATACCGTGTCCTAATAGGAATATTCATGCCATGTATATGTGCAGCACCTGTTATCTGTCTTGCAAACATATTAACATACTATTACACATCTATTACAACAATGCTCCAAAATAAATAAATAAATAAATTGTATAAATATTAGAAATAAGTTATATTTACTGTTACTGTTTTCTGTTATTCATTTTTGTTAGATAACTAGGCACCGTAACAAAATGCTAGCTGTCATTTAGAATGGAAGGTTGTTAATTTGTTTTTCCTTATGTTTTGCCTATAAAATGAGGCACAAATCATTGATGTAATAAGATGAAAAATGGGAGTTTTTTTCTACTCTTAATATCTTCATGGTATCAGAGCATACCTGATCCAAATTCTTCAGCATCCCTCTTGCATTCAATAGGCAGGATGAACAGACTTCTTCTTCGCTCGAAGTCCTTTAGGGCTCCTATCTTCCGGTGCCTGACAGTCATGCTCTCACTGATATGGCTCCTTCTTTCATTACTGGACATCGACTAAATGGCAGCAACTATCTACAATGGTCATCCTTTGTATTAATGTTCATTCGTGTTCATTCGAGGGCAAAGCCGGGACGAATACCTCATTGGAGAGCTCTCACCACCTCCCGCGAATGATCCAAATGCTCGAGCATGGAAAGTAGAAAACAATCTTCTTATGTCTTGGTTGGCGAACTCAATGATTACTGAAGTCGAAGCAAGTCTTCACGACCTGCCCCAAAGAGAAAAGACGGTAACTCAATATTACAAATTTCTTACTTGAAAATGGCAGCAGCTTGACGCTTTTGAGGAACATGCTTGGAGCAGTCCCGATGATGCCAGGAGATTCCGAAGCATTGTGGAATAGAAATGAATGTTCAAATTCCTCTTCGGACTGAACAAATACCTCGACGAAGTAAGATGACGCATCCTTAAAACCAAACCTCTCCTGAACATGAGAGAGGTGTTCTCTGAGGTGCAACGCAAAGAAAGCAGGAAGAAGGTGATGATGGGTGAATCGTAACTCAGCCCTAACCTTGCTGAAGGCAGTTCTCTCTCACCCGAGACTGGTGTAGCTCTCACAAGTCGGGTGGACTGAGCAGAAGGGACGGCCATGGTGTAAATACTGTAAAAGACCTGGACACATTCGTGGAAGATGCTGGAAGCTTCACAGGAAGCCAGCTGAAAAGAAGATACCAAAGCAGGAGACTCATCGGGGCAATTTTGTCTCAACTGAGGAGGAATCAGCTGCAGTCGTTCCTACAGAAAGTCCTCTATTTAGTCCTGAACAGATCAACCTCCTCCAGACAATGTTTTCTCCCAATATAATTCTTAGTAATGCTTCCACAGCTCAAAAAGGTAATTTTTCTGGTCTCTCAACTTATTCCTCAAAAAAGGGCATATGAATTATTGACTCAGGTGCTTCCGACCATATGACCGGGGATATCTCACTATTTAAGGAGTACAATAAGTGCAAAGATAAATTCTCAATTAAAATTGCTGATGGCTCCAATTCCCGAGTCGAAGGAACAAGAATAGTTGCACTGTCACCCAAGTTAATTTTGTATTCTGTGCTATACGTTTCAAATTTGTATTGCAATTTCCTGTCAATAAACAAACTATCACAGGACTTGAATTGTGTAGCTATATTTAATTCTAAACTGTGTGAATTTCAGGACTTGAACTCGGGGAAGACGATTGGCAATGGTAGTATGGATTCAGGTCTTTATCTACTGCAAGCTGACAACTCTTCTCTTAGTAGATAAACTCATGCAGTATGTATTAATTCTGAATCTGTAAACAATTTAAACAGGGAATGTCCCATCATGTTATGGTATTACCGTTTAGGACATCCTAATTTCTTATATTTGAAAAAGTTATTTCTTACTTTTTTTCGAAATAAAAATTCAATTTCCCTTTCAATGCGAAATATGTCAACTGTCCAAACATATTTGAAATTTATTTTCCAGTTCAGTTTACAAACCCACAAAACCTTTTTCATTAATCCATAGTGATATATGGAGTCCTTCTCGGGTTACTAATATCACCGGGACAAAATGGTTTGTATCTTTTGTTGATGACCACACTAGAATCACTTGTATCTTTTTTATGAAAAAAAAATC